ACCTGTCTGCTCAGGGGCTCAACAAAGGAGCTGCCAGGCAGCCGGGAGGGGGCTGGTTTACTCCGTGGGGCCCGGGGAGGCCCTGGCCCTGACCCTGGGAGCAGAGGGTGGGGGCAGTGGCATCTCATACAGGGGGAGGCAGCAGGCAGCTGGGACAGCCAGAGGCCGCGCATCCCAGTCCAGGCAGGGAAGTGACAGAACAGACGGTGGCGATGAGACGCACGTGACTGAGGGCTGCGCGCCTGGGGGCTCAGGAAGGCAGCCTGCCAGGCACCACGGTGTCCCCCCTCTGCCCCCCTGCCCCCCATCTCAGGGATGCCTGCATCCTTACCCTCCTTCCCACCTCTCCTTCAGGCCGCAGGGTGTGGGCAGCCTGCTTTAGGTCCCTCGGCCGCCTGTAGCCCCCAATAGAAGCCCGACCCTGGGGTCCTCAGGTTCCCAGCTTCCCCTGGTCGTCGAAGGCTTTTCTTGCAGAGAAGGTGCCTCCTTCCACAAATCAGCTCCTCCAAGTAGAGGAGCCAAGGGGTGGGCAGCGACTGCACTCCGTGCCCACCCTGCGCCCTGGACTCTCCGGTCCCGGCTGCCCGTCGCCAGGGCCTGGGTCAGGCGGGGTGCAGGGCCCCCTCTCCTCAACGCAGGGAGCGACACACGGCTGCAGGTGCAGGTGCGGCTGTGCCACAAGCGCGCAGATGACAAAGAGGAAGCAAGCACAGGAGGCAGCACCGGAGTCCAGTTCCTGGGGCTCCTCAGACTCAGGCCGCCGCCATCGGTCAGCGTGGGACTCGCTGTGTGCGCCTGGACCCCTGGCCCAGCTCAGCCCCCCGCCCCCAGTCCCCCTGCACACAGACGCCTACATTCAGCAGGGGCCTGGCAGGGACACCCTGGTCTCCTCGCTGAGGAACCTTTTCCTCTCCCTGACACTAGAGCTGACATCCAGGGCCGCTCAGAGGGCTGGGGAAACCTAGGCCATTTCGTACTTCAAGGCTCTCAGTGCAATGCAAATGGAAGAAATGTGAAAATAGTGTTTTAAGAATTATGGCACTGCACCAAAAAAGAACCCCCAAAAACAAAAAACCTCAAACAATCCATTTTTTAATTGGGCAGAGGTCCTGATTTAACGCTTTTCCAGGGAGGACGCACAGATGGCTAATAGACATATGAAGAGACACTCAGCATCAATGATCATCAGAGAAATGATGCAAATTAAAACCACAGGGAGAGATCTCACACCTGTCAGAATGGCTACCATCAATAAACCAACGAATGTGTTGGTGAGGATGTGGAGAAAAGGGAACCCTCGTGCCCTGCTGGTGGGAATGCGGAGTGGTACGGCCACTGTGGACAGATTCCTCAAAAAATTAAAAATGGAACTGTCTTATGACTCAACAATTCCACTTCAGGGTATGTGTCCAAAGAAACCCAAAACACTAGTTCGAAAGAATGTATGCACCCCTCTGTTCATTGCAATAGCTATGTTTATAGCTGGCATAACAATAGCCAGGATATGGAAGCGCCCCAGTGCCCATCAATACATGAGTGGATACAAAAAGCAGTGGTACATATGTACCATGGAATATTACTTGGCCTTAAAAAGGAATGAAATCCTGCCATTTGTGACAACATGGATGGGCCGAGAGGGTATTAGGCTAAGTGAAGTCAGTCAGTCAGAGACAGACAAATACTATAGGATTCCACTTATATGCGGAATCTAAAGAACAAAATAAATGAAAAACAGACTCAGACGTGGAGGACAGACTGGTGGTTGCCAGAACGGGGCAGGGTTGAGGGATTGGGTGAAAAGGTGAAGGGATTAAGAAGTACACAGATCAGTAGTTACAAAATATTCATGGAGATGTAACGTGGAGCTTAAAAAATATAGTCAACGTTGTAACAACTACGGATGCTGCCCAGGGGGGTGCGGGGAACACCAGGGGAGCTCCTGGTGGAGCGCATGGCTGTCTGACCACCGTGCTGTACATCTGAAACTAATACAAGATAATATTGAATGCAAACAGTATTAAAAAATAAAGATATTCTAAAAAAAGAATCTGCATCTGCACTATTGGAGTTTTCCTTTTTCATATACGAAGCCCGACTGGAGTCATAGAACTCGTTTCCATTCTGTAGGAGAAAACACCAAGGAGCTGGTCTCGGACACATCCAGCTTGGAATCCTGGCTCCATCACTGTGTGAACCTGATGCATTACTTAACGTTTCTGAGCCTGTTTCCTCAGTGAGACAAGACAGATAATACTAACTACTGAAACTGGAACAGTGAGTCCAGTTTCACTATTTACTTAATAGTGTCAAAGGGAGATAGTTATAATAACTATCTTGGTTATTTAGAAACAGTAGCTATTGTGACAGTGGCTCATGCGCTGAACAGCATGGGAGAGTCGTAAGAGCCGAGTACTGGGCAAGGCACAGAGAATACAGCCAACCTCAGGGAACCCTCGTCTTCGCGGAGACTAGTCTTCTCCGTTGTCGGTATCAGGCCGAGTGGAGCTGGTGGGAACGGACTGGAGCTCGTTTCAAGAGCGTGGTTACCCCCTTGGCTTCCTCACGTTTCCTGACAGAGCGCTCCAATGGATCGTACAACCCCCGCCTCTCACCTGGTAACGTCCAAGCTGAGTGCAGGTGCGGCCAGCCTCCTGACTGGGGACGTCCTAAGGGCGGGAGAGGACCGTGCAGCTGTCCGTGGGACAGCAGGTCCTGTCTTGGTGAGGAGAGGTGGTTCTTGGTGCTGCTGTTGTAGTTGCTGTTTTCTAACTATCTTGTCCCTTTGTGATTAAGGTAATAATGTTACACCATGCTGACATCCTGCTTTGGAAAATGTGGAGATATTTTCAACAGCTGTATTATTTTTATACACCTGTTGGCTCGGTAGGGCAATAGAGCCAAAGCCATTTCTTCTCACTGAAAATTAGAACACAGCTCAATCAGCCATGTTTTTATTCTTCCACAGTAGAAAGGTAAGTGTGCAAAGAACTGGCAAGCGTGTGCCTCTGGCAAGTAAGAGAAGCAGGGATTTAAGTGCACAGTTTCCAGAAGGAAGCTTCACTCATTGCATTGTAACAGATTGAAATTGTATGAAATTTTATTTAGTGAAGATGTGTCTTACATTACTGGGTAAGTATGGGGCTAAATATTATGTATATAAATTTTGAGTAAATTAAACTTTTAAGTACACGAAGAACAATTTGATACTTAAAGTCGTGCTATTGTTTTTAATAAAGAAAACCATATCCCTTATTTTCTTTTATGTAAATTCAGAATTACATATATATTAACATATTTGAGATTCAGAATTATAAATCTAAAAACACTCAATAAGAAAAAAACAACTCACATATTATATGTGTTTTTCCCTGAATGGTGTTACTGTGCTTTTTTACTTTTTAAGTATCTTTATGCCTTTATGTATTTTCCAGGGTCATATTCCAACAACAGTAAGCACGCATACTTTTTATTATGATGAAAAGATTGTAAAAATAAAAAATAGACAGATACATGACACACTTATTTTTATAAATTATTTTATAATTTTAATTAATTTTATATTAATATTTTCAAAAAAATGCGGACCCTCAAGTAGACTCAGAAACAGGCTGGGAATCATCTGATCTAGTTTCCCAAACTTTACTCATTTGTACAATTTCATGCTTTTTTTTGGCTAAATCTGTGTATGACCTTTATCATGTATATTTTAAATCCTATCTTTTACTTCAAAAGATTAATTGAAAATGAAAATTTATATCCCCATTCCACCTCAAAAATAATCATAATTTTCAAGGAGGAAAGAAAAACATATATATAATTCACATAATACTAAATTCCAGCCAAATATCATTGCTTATTAAAAGGTTCTGATCCTGAGATTTGTTTACTTTACTTTTTCTAAAAGGAAGACTACCAGGAGTTTGCAGGGGTTAAATAGAACCTAGCACCAAACTTAGAGTTTCTCTGTGTAATAGTTGAAAATGCTGAGGTAGAATTGGGACAGGAATTACAGGAAGACAGTGTGAATCTTTATGAATCCTGATGCCCTGGCTACTCACAAACATTTCCTGTGCTATGATGTCTCCCAGGCTTTGAAGACTGCTGGGCTCAGCCAGCTCGGGCCAACGAGTGAGGACGAGGGCTTCTCAAAGGCTCCAGAGCCGCGGAGCCCACCACTCTGTTCACGATGCCTCCCAGGGAGCACCGAGGGGACCGTACATCCCAGTCCATACCAGCCCAACTTCACACTCTTATCCCAGCACGACCATTATCACACTCCCTTTGACACGCCCATGTGTCCTGACTTTGGACAATCCAGCGTAAGAGTCAGCAGAGTGAGGGTGGCCTGTCCATCATTTTCTGAGCAGCTACTCTGCGCCTGGCTCCGGGGTAATGACTGGAATGCCAAGGTGAGTGAGATGGTTCCCAGCCCCCAAGAACTCGGGAATGGAGGACCAGGGCAAGGAGGACAAGGGAGCCACTTAATGACAATACCAAATGATGAGAGTCACACATAGGTTTATGCCGTACGCTGTTGGGATCTCAGGGCAGGAGGACAGGTGAACCAAAGGAACACAGCAGCTTCCTCAGTGCAGAGGGCAAGCAAACCAGCTACTCAGTGATGTAAGAACAACAAATTAGCTCCGCAGAGGCAGGCTGGTCTTTCCCATTTAAAACAATGTATTACCTTGCATTTCTACCTGTTCAGGGAACAGGGGTGAAAAGGATGAAAGTGAAAGAGTTTCTGGCTTCTGTTTCTTCAGTGGTTAGAAGAAAACCTGCCCTGCCTGGTGAATCTTGTAATACGTAGAGATAGATAAAAATGTTTGCAGGGGAAGAATATGCTCTACAATTTACTAGTTTTAAACTTAAATTGGATCATATGACTTGGTTGCTTAAAACCCTTCTCGGATGGATCATTGTTCTCAGAGTAAAAGGCACGCTCCGTCTGGCAGCCCGGGAGCTCTGCCCTTGGTCCACAGCCCCCTCTCCTGCCGCCCTCACTCTAGCTCCCGGAGCTCAGGCCCAGGCTGGGCCCGGGCCGCCTGCAGCTCGGCTGTCCCCTCTGCCTGGAGCGCTCTTCCTCCGGAGCTTTCCAAGTCTGACCTGTGTAAAGGGAGAGCCCGCCCAAGACTCACAGCAGCCCAGAGGGAAGCAAGCCAAGCCAAGAGGTCAGGAGAGGGGGTTCCTGCTGCTGTCACAGAGCGACCAGGTTATGGGGCTGCTTGATAAGAGAGACTCTACTTGCTTCATCCCAGCTGTGCCCTGGTGCCTCGAACAGGCCAGGCATGCTGGGTGCTGGCCTCTGCCCCACAAAACCACATCTGTGACCTCTGAGGGTTCCCCTGATAAACTCCAAGTACCACACCACAACACACCTCTCCAACTGCAGTACGCACAGGGCTGATTCTGTGCAGAAGGGATAAAAACAGAGTATCCAGTACCTTTTTCCTGGAACATCAAGGTAATTACCACATTTAGAAAAGCCAAGAACTTTAGTAAGAACTCTCACAAACAAGGTATCAAAGGAGAGCAGGGAAGGGAAGAAGGGTCCCAGGAAAAAGAGTCCAGTTTTTGAAGTTTCATTGGGTGGGGGCTGAGGAAGGTGGACCCGCAGCGAGGGTGGTCTCTCTTTCTGACCCCCAGGGGGCTCCAGGCTGTCCTCCAAGCTCAGAAGAGATTTTGGTAAGATGCTCCTGAAAGCCACACCCTCCTGATGGGAATCCTGTGCGGGATCACCCATCGTGTGCTGGGCCGAGCCCTCTCAGCTGCGCGCACAGCGTGGGGTTCTGGCACTGCTCTCACCTGCAGCTGTCGGAGTGCCGCCTCTGGCTCACTGCCCTCAGCAGTGACCCACTGGCCTCCTTGGTGCCATCAGGGTCAGTGTTTAAATTGCAGGCAGTGCAGCCCTGCTGGTGTGACTCAGTGGGTTGGGTGTGCTGGGACCGTCCCACCTGGGTTCAGGGACTGTAGCCTCGCCGACAGGTGAGAGGGCCCTAAGACTGGAGCTGAGCAGGGAGGCCTTGGGAAAATAGGCCACTGAGGAGACACAACCTGTCCTCTGGCAGGGGCACAGCCCCTGCCTCCCTCACATCACCCTGCTTGGCTCCAGAGGATGGCTGGTTAGTCGATGGTGGGTAAGACCTCATGATGGCGGGGGCAACCTAAGACAGGCACAGTTGCACAGAGGCCACCAGGGAAGGACTTGGGGGACACGGAGAAGGGGCAAAAGACCCTCACCCCTCGGCTTTGTCATGGCCGGAGTCCTCATTCTACCTGAAAGAAGTCTCCTTATCTCTTGGCTGCTCTGCCCCCGCCCTGACCGAGTCAGTGAAACAATACTGAAGGCAGGTACAGCCCTAAACTGGATCGGGCGGTTCCCGGGGACAATTAGGCCTGGAAAAGGGATGCATTAAATCCTATGAAACTTACTTTGCTCAGAATGCCCTTGAGTGGATGAGTACTGGTGTGTGGGGTTGAGCCCAGACTGTAGTCCCTTTCCCCGGTTTCAGGGCTGAATGGGCACCACCCCAACCTAAGGCAGATCTCTTGTGCTCCTACAGTTGTTCTCTATGATCTCTATTTGTTTTCTGTAAACATAGCCTTTTGACATTGACTGATGAGCTCTGCATCCATGCTGTATGCCCCCGTATATGGTCCTCAGCAAAAGCCACTTCAAGAGAAGGGCTCGGAGCTTGCTCCGCTAGAGGGAATCGCCACCCCTTTCCCTGGCAGACCAAGACAAGCGTCTGGGACGACTTATTTTATTTCCACATCCGTGAGGACCCGGAGCGTACTCTGCGGAACAACAGTCCACCCTCCTTCTCAGGGAGTCACCGCTGGAAGCCACAGCGTGCCTGGTTCGATTGGTGGCCAGATCACATGCCTGACTAGGCCGCTGGTCCGGCTCCAAGATCCTCAAGGTTTTTAAATGCGTGGTCCTCGGCCGTCCAGGATGTTTAAAGGTGTTACTCTCGCCCCTCTCTGATGGCGCTTCTCCCTGGACGGCCTGCAGCACAGGCACTTCAAAAAAAACTTGAAGACCCTCCTGGCCATGCCCTGTCGGCCTTGGCTGGGGCCAGAGGGAGAGCCTGTGGCTCGCCCGTCCAGCTCTTCGGCTGGGAGGCCGGAGCTGCTGCTGCTGCTGCTGGCGAGGGCGCCCCCAGGGATGCACTGGAGGCCTAGGCTGGGGGTGGCGGTCCTGGTGTCTGGGCCCGGTTCCGAACTTCTGGATTTCAGGCTGGGCGTGGGCGCGGGCATGTCTTCCTCCACAGTGCAGGTGCAACCGGAGGAGCTGGACTGTGCGCTGGGCGGAGGGGCGGGCACGGTCTCTTCCTCAGTGGAGCTGGAAGCGGAGGGGCTGGAAGCGGAGGGGCTGGAAGCTGACGAGCTGGGCTGCGGCCTGGGCGGAGGGGCGCGCACCGTGTCTTCCCGGGTGGAGGCGGGGGCGGAGGAGCTGGGCTGCGGCCTGGGCGGAGGGGCGCGCACGGTCTCTTCCCGGGTGGAGGCGGGGGCGGAGGAGCTGGGCTGCGGCCTGGGCGGAGGGGCGCCCACGGTCTCTTCCAGGCTGCCCGGGGGTCCGAGGGAACCGGATTCCAGGCTGGGCGGGGCGGCACACAGCCTCACCTCGAAGATGGCGCGAGGGCCTTTCTTCCTGGCTCCCAGCCCGCCCGGGGAAGGGGCGGCGCCGTCTTCGAGGCTGGGTGTCGCCGCCGTGGCTGAGGGCCCCGCAGCCTCGAGGTCTGGGCCCGAGGAGGCGCCGCTGCTGTCGGGGGCAGGGGCCGGGCCGGGCCTCACCCTCACGGTGCGGCCCGGCATCCTGGCGGTCTGGGCCCTCAGGATGAGGTAGGTAGCCATTACACGATCGTATTTCTTAAGGGCTACGGAGTCCTCCAGTTCGCGCCTCGTGAACCCCAGGTCCCTCATGATTTTAACTAGTTGGGGGTCGATTTCAGCCCAGGGCGGCTCACGGTAGGGGCTCATGGGCCCCCCCTGCCCCTTGTTCACCCAGGGGTCCCTCATTACGTGCTCGAGGTTGGGCCTGAGGTGGGGGTCGACGGTCAGGAGCTTTCTCAGGAGGGCCCGGACTTCCTCCGAGGTGAACTCCGGGAGCTGCAGCGGCTTCGTCCCCACCTCCTTGACCGCCTTGACCATATCTGCAGCGGTGTCCCCCTGGAAGGGCGCCTTCCCCGTCACCATCTCATGGAGGATGACCCCCAGGCTCCAGACGTCCGCCTTGGGGCCGTCGTAGATCTGGCGCCGCAGCACCTCCGGGGCCATGTACGACAAGGTGCCGCAGAAGGTGGAGAGCCGGTAGTCCCGGAAGTTGCGGCTGAAGCCGAAGTCCGCCACCTTGATGTTGAGGTGGCGGTCGAGGAGCATGTTCTGCGGCTTCAGGTCGCGGTGCGCTATGCCCTTGCCGTGGCAGTAGTGGAGGGCCGAGACCATCTGGCGGAACATGGCCCGGGCTTCGTCCTCGCTGAGGCGGCCGCAGTCCTCCAGGTGCCGGAACAGGTCCCCTCCGCTGACAAACTCCATGAAGAGAGTCTCTTTGTCCCGGGTGGTCAGTACCTGGAAGAGCTGCGTGATGTTCGGGTGATGCAGGCTCTTCAGGGACTGGACCTCTTCAAATTGGGTGTCCGTGCCCCACCGGCTGATCGTTTTGACGGCCACGTCGGTCCCTGTGAGCCAGTGCCGGGCCAGCTTCACCTCGGCGAAGGCTCCCTTGCCGATTGACTTCAGGGGTAGATAGTCGCCGAGGTAGTGTTTCTTGTTGCCCAAGGTGGGTAAAAAGTCACGAGACATGGCGGCCTCCAAATAAAATAAAATAAAATAAAATAAAATAAAATAAAATAATTTAAGAAATGAAAAATAAAATCAAAATTAAAATAACAAAATACAACCCAAAATAGAAAATACAAATAAAAAACTCTGTAAATAAAAATACACAAAAGAATGTATAAACAAATTATAAAATAAATATATATTTAAAAAATAGAAATAGGAAAGAAATATAAATAAATATAAAAAAATATGTATTTTAAAATAGAAATATGTAAAAAAGTAAAATAGAATGAGAAAATACAACACAAAATATATAAAAAAATAAATGTGGAATCAATATAAGTATAAATATAAAATTAATATATATTTAAAAATAAAAAAGTAAAATCAAATGAAAAAATAAACCGAAATATATAAAAAAATATGGAATAGATATAAGTATAAATATAAAACTAATATCAATTAAAAAATAAAAACGTAGAAAACTAAACTTCAATGAAAAAATAAAACGCAAAATGTGTAAAAAAATAAATGTGAATATAAATATAAATATATAAAGTTTATATAAATATATATAAAGTTTATATATATTTAAAAATAAAAATAGAAGAAAAATAAAATGAACAACGAAAACCCCAAATGGGGAAAAGAAACAAAAAAAAGAAAGAAAAGAAAAAGAAAAAGAACAAGAGATCAGAAAGAAAATTAAAGCAGCAAAATAAACTGCAAATGGAAAAAAAGAAACCAAAAGAAACAAATGAAAAGAACAGAAAGGAGAAGGCAAGCCAAGCTGTCCAACTGCGCAGGTCACCACACCAGCTCCCTGGGCTCTCACGGACAGAGACCTCTGCCGCCCAGCCAGGAGCTGTTAAGGGGCTGTTGGTGACCCCTCACAATGGCGCCTTATGTGGTCAGAGCAGCAAGTGGGCCCACCCCAGCTGGGAATAAACTACAGTGCTCTTCTCACTTTTCTGGTCTCGCGACAGTTTTCCTCTGGAGAAAAATCAAAAGGGTCCCGCAAAAACCTTTTTTGTAATGTGGGAAATTAAAGACGATACATACTTTATTAGAAATGATAATCTGTAAGGTGCAAAAAAAAAAAGATAGAAATGATAAACCTGGCTTGTTCTCACGTTCCAGGTCTCAGTTCCAATACCACCTGCTTGGAGAGGGCTTCCCTGATCCCCCGCCCCTGCCCGCCTCGCCCAGCTCATCACGTTTGTCATCTGCACAGCACTGACAGCAGGGCACCTGCTTCTTGGTCACCGTCCGCCCATCCCGTGAAGGGAGGGTCATGGCTGCAGGGGTCCTTGTGTCTAGCACAGCGAGTGGCAACGAAGCAAATGTGAAATGAACGTTTGGCCACTGGATTACTAGAAGAGTTTAGGGGAACAAAGGAAAACGTGGCCAACAAAGGCAAAACATGGTCAAAGGGAGTCACAAAGTATCTTCAAAACTTCCTGTTCCGCCCTCACTCAGCTTTTGGGGCCGACAAGACAGGAAGGAGGGGGCCGAAACTAGGTTTCCAGGTGTGTGGGCGCTTGGCGAGCCTGAGGGAAAGTCCCCTGGTAGGGGCCTTGCTGTGAAGATTAAAGAAGACGATTCGTCCCTCCAGCAGCACTTGCCAAAGGGGACGACGAGTTTGGATCTGCAGGGAGGCTGCAAGGTGCTTTGACACTTTGAACATCCGTTCGCAGGCTTCACAAGGACCTCTCAGGGGACCTTGAGTGGCCGTTTAGGTGTCTGAGCTACTGCAATGAACCGTCTCTGGGGGGAGAAGTGATGACGAGGCTGGTGAATTCACCTGTGAAGAGACCCTTGGAAACCTCACGGTCCAAGGGCTTCTGCAGAGGTACCAGGTGCGAGGTGACGTGTTGGGTCCAATTCTCCCCTTCTGTGGCGGCACGGAGGAAGCAGGCCGGCTTGAGGACGCCCGGGGGGGACTCTGGCGCGTTACATGCAGACAAGTCCTTCAAGAAAGCGCCCTACCTCAGAACGTCGAGTGTTTTAATCACACGTGTAAGTTGTTATTCTAGCAATTACTTTCCTTGACTCTCTCTCCTCCAGTCTCAACTTTGCGTGAAGGGTGCCTTTAGAGGGATCTGCCTGTGAGGTTGTCCCTCCACAACACTTGAGTGTGTTTTTACCTCCCATCTGTGGTACTCAGTTCCTGAGCATGACGGTCTCTGCTGCTGAGCTGATTGGGACCAGGTGGGGTCATTTCATCACTTCTAGACAGATATTTATAAGTTACAGCTGGAGATTAGAATAAATTAAGGAAGGAGAAAAGAGAGGATATTAACCTGAACTGCCAGTCTGTGAGTTAATTATATCCATTTATAAAAATGGTATTGATAGTTACTTCAGAAATAATATCAATAGAATAGAACATTTTCTGAAGATAATGATCTCTCTCAGCAAAGTAAGTACAGACTCAAAGATTAGACTTTTAACATAAAAGTGTCAAGGCAAAAGCCAAGCTTAAACAAAAAAAAGAAACAGGCAGTCATCTTTTTCAAAATGCTACGTCAATTATATATTTGTGATTGTGTCTCCATGAGCATATAGCTTCTTTATGTTTTTCTTGACCTCGTAATTTGCTTCCTTGAGGAGGGAGGTGGGCAGTAAATAATTCTATTACTTGTTTTCGGGAGGAGGAAGGATCTGTTTCCTTCACTGCGCCTGGCCCTTCCTGAGAGAGGGCTGAGCTTTTGGACCCTCTCAGTGGATCCAGACAAGTCCCGGGAGCTGCTCCTTCAGGTGCGATGCTCTATCTCTGTCCATCATATCCCTTAGGATTTTCTTTAACGGCTTCAGCTCCGGAACCTCTTCTTCCTCAGGAGACAGCAGGGCCCCTCTCGCGACTCAGAGGCCATGCTCAGTTGAGTTCTCTCCAGGTCCAGCCCTGCACGCTGTCCACGAGCACACACCAGGTCATTCCTGGTGCCTCTCAGACCACTGGCAAGGTCCTGGTTGGACAGACGCTGCACACGGAGCCCCAGGAGAGGGTGCCAGCATCTAGCCTTGGGGCTCTGGCCTGCTCCTGGTCTCCTGATACATGAGCTGTGTGAATGCAATGGGCCGACCCACTCGCCGCCCACCGAGTGCCCTCGCTCATAGTTCCCCTTTTTGTGCCAAAGTTTCCTCAGCTTTTGAACTTGGTATCTTAAGAGATGCCTATCACTTCACGCTGGCTGGAAAAATAAAATACAAAGTTCCTAGGGACTGATGTGTAAACTCCTGTCCCTTTCGTTTATCACCTTGACAATATAGTATTGAACATTACTAACATTATATCATAACAGAAGACAGTTGAACTGTTACCAGACAGGTGCCTGGCCCTGAGTGGGTTTGCCTAGGGGCTAGCGGTAGTATGTGGGTTCTTGACTTCATGTAGAAAAGATTTTACAACATGAGTCCAGGTGACTATAAGGATACATTTATTGAAGTTGTGGACAGTGAAACAGGAAGGGCTTAGCGTGGAAGAAACAACAGAAGAGCCTAGACTGGTGTGGAAAGCAGGGCCAATAGAATAGCATTGGTCTGGTCAAGATAGCATAAAGTGGAGCAGAAACAAAACTGAAGTCTAGACATTGTATGTGTTATCTCCAGGGAGTAAGGGCAAGGTCAGGAGAGGTTACCCTGGGGGTGGGTCCTTGTTTTCCCAGTTTTGCCCCCGGCCAGGCACTGGGGGCCTTCCGCCCAGGCGTCCACCTGCTCCTTCCGCCCAGGCGGCTGCAAATTGAACGTCAGCCTTGGCGTTCAGCTCTCTGTCTCAGTGCCCCTCTTCCACCCACCAAGGAGTTTTCCTCTGCTTCTCACTACCCTTCCTCAGAACCACTAAGTTACTCCGGGCAAGGCATCCTAAACAGAGGCTAAGGTACTACAAAGAAGTTGCTTGCCATTTCAAAATAAGTGGCTTTTTGATGTCATCAGGGTTTTCTCTAGCTTTTGACAGGGCACCTCTGTGTTCTGTTTGACTGGCAAAGGGTCCTAGGGTCTTGAGTTGAAAAAAAGCAGCTCAGGGTACCATCACTTATTTATTAAGTAACAACTGAGTGCAAGGCATGTTACATTATATGGGCTAAGAAAAACATCTTTCTCTTCGAGGGAAGGCACATTTTAAAGGATGAATGCAAACAAATGGAAATACGCATTTTTCAGTCACTTATATGAGCACAATGCAAATAGACAGGTTTGGGGCATATGGGGGGGGGCCTTGTTACAAGGTCTACAGATGGGCACATCTTTACATCCAGGTACTGGTTCTGTAAATTGTCTCAGAGTCCCCTCCATTTAAAACTGGCATCAAAATCCTGCAGGGGCTGCAGGAAGGAAATAGGGTCCGTCATTTGTTTACAAGAGCATCTCAATTTGATACCGATCAGGCTGCACCTACATTCTTGTCTAACCTGCTAACCCTTGAACTATTCTCATAATGATATGCTTAGTACCTTCTTCTACAGCTCACCGAAAGTTTCCAGGGAGCAGTGTGGTCTGGCATAGGAGCAGGGCATGGGGCAGATAGACTTGGATTTGATTTCAGCTTCAGCACTGAAATCATAGTCCTCTCTCTGAAGGTAAATGACTGACTCTTGCTTCCATTTCCTTATCTCTAAAATGAAAATAATGGTATTAAATTCATATAGTTGAGCAGAGGAAATGAGATCAAGGGTAAAAAATATCTGTAGATAGCCCGAAAGGAGTAGGTATTCAAGATCCACGAGTAATTTCCCTATTCTTTTCCCTCTGAATTAAAGTATATGTGTCAGTGAATGAAAGATGCAAGGACTTTTAGCAGGTATGATCTTTTGCCTATGAATTATGCATATTGCACTTAAAGTTCATGTTAGTTTCATGGCAAGTGTATTCAATCATGTATATCTCTTGTGTTGGGAAATGCTTTAGTCATATTACCCATTGGTCATACATTTAATCTAACTAGATCCTGTCTCCCCAGCTGAAGGAAAGGTCCTTGAACATAAGACTTGTTCAAATCTTCTCTACATACACTTTTAGGG